CTCCGTAGAACCAATCGACCGTGAACATTCTTTTCAAATTGATTTCATTTGACTACAAACCCTAAGATATAGATTTAAGAAAAGAGACAAAGGTGTTTGATGGATCGAATGGTATAAGAACAAAATACGTATTGCAATCTCTCGATGGATTCAAGGGAGAATCTTTCCTCGAAACGGTAGACTTTATCGCTAGAAAGTAGAGTCAAGGTAGACTTTCTATTTTTATTCTTCACTCGGTTGGGTATTGAATGTTCAAAAAAAATTATTTAGTTTAGCCGATAAACCGCCCGATAACCGTCCGATAATCATTAATCTGATACCAATCCGCTCATTGTCTTATTAGATAGCTAGCGGATTACTATATTTATAATCCGATAATCGATAAGGCGAATCAATAAATGTAATTATCCGTCCAGATCTGCCTGATAAATATCCCTACTTAAAATGGATCGAAGAAAATATATATCCACATTTGATTTCACATAAAAATAAATAAAAAATTAACTATTAGGGGTTATTTGGTTGATGGATTAGCTATATAAGGGTAATGTATGGGTTGTACCTAGATTAGTAATACAAAGATCTTTATGTAGAGAAGAAATAATATGTAGACTGCCATACGGAGAATAAATAATATAATAAATTGTTATAATACAGTGAATAAATAATACGAGAATGATTATTTTTTTTGGTAATTAAAATTATTATTAATCACTAAGGATAACAGTACAAAGCATAGCATAGCATCTCCCAGCTAGCTGTTCTCTACAAGAAGTACCCAAGAACCTAATACTATCTATTCCTCATATCCCTAGACAAGCGGTATCTAAATAAGCACAAAACACTATGACTATCTTTTTTTTAAAAAAAAAATATAGATTCTGTATAAAACCCTTCACTTTCCTATCTGCCCTGAAGTGGCATATGCTCACAATCTCCCTTGCCAAGGTTTCATGTTCTCTATTTGCACCCTCAAATATTCGATTATTTCTTTCTCTCCATAGCACATGTATATATTCAACATACATCATTTTAAGTAGCATTGATGAAGCTGTCTTTCCCTTTGAGTGTTGAATGATAAATTGGAAATACTGTATCCAAGTATTGGGAACAGTGGAGCGGCATTGAGCCCACTGAGATATCCTGGTCCACAATCTGTTGGCATAGGCAGATACTGCAAACAAGTGTTCCCTTGTTTCCTTATCGGACTGGCACAATACACATCTCTCATACATATGGAGACCCCATCTCTTCAGCATATCTTTTGTTAGCAGCCCTCCATGGTTTTGAAGTCACATAGTAAATATGGCTTTAGGTCTAGCATAGTTCTGAATGATTGTTTTAAGGTTTACCTATTGTAATAAGATTTACCTATTGTAAATACATGTATTACTATTTCACCTTCTATAATGTATAAAATAATATATTGATTCTCGTATAACTCCTACCCGTATTAATTATATAATATTTAGTTATCGGTAGTAAAATATAGCATAAACCATGCGAATTTTAATACTGGTAACTAAGTATTGTAAATTTATGTGGAGATTATCTATTAATGCAAGAATTTATGCAGAGAAAATATTTTTAGAAAATATATAATTTAGGCACAAACAATGAGAGATGAAATCCAAAATTGTCTACTTATTGCGATTTTGATTGGCCTAATTATCTTTTGACAAGACGATCTTTGACTGTTATTTTGTCTTGGGAGAATTACCTATCTCCGAGAAGATTAAGAAGCAACAAACAGTTTCTCGCTTATCAGCTGAAGCTAAACATAAATCTATGGCCATTACAGCTAGTGAACTGAAATGGTTGAATGAATTACTGGATTCTCTTGGTGTGACACATTCTGAACCTATGCAATTATATTGTGACCGTCAAGAAACTTTGCATATAGTTGTTAATCCTGTTTAACATGAGCATACCAAGCATATTAAAGTAGACTATTACTTTATCCGTGATGAGATACTTAATTGTAACATATAAACAGACTATGTACGTAGTTCAATGCAACCTGCTGTTGTCTTCACCAAGGCAATGGGAAAAGATCAATTTAACTTTCTTCTTCGCAAGTTGGGCATTCGAGATCCTCATGCTCCAACTTGAGGGGGGTATTGTGTTAGGTGTTGTCCTAATTTTCTTATCATATTTGGTTTCCTATCTGTTGAAGGAAAGAGCAACATATTTACGATAATTGAATTATAATCTCTCATATTTGGCTAGTCCTTTTTCTTGTAGGAAAATGTTTGGACTTCTATAAATTGAGGATCCCTCCTTCTCATTCAGTAGCATTCATAATGTAGTCATATGGGGTTTGAGAGTCGTGTTTAGGGGAAAAACTTTACGGGACACGTGTTAGTGTGTCACTTGTCTTTACCTCTTCGTGAGGTTGTTCTCTCAATATTTTGTACTCTCTTTATTATAATGGATTTCTCATCTCCGCCGTGGATGTAGGTCAATTTACCTTAACCACGTTAAATGTTTGTGTCTTTTTTGGAATTTTTCTCTTTTATTGTTTGATTTATCATCATTCAAGGTTTGATTTACTAGATTTCACATGACACCTACTTTTTTCGGTCATAACATATTGAAGTCTTTTGTGTACATCTATTGCAGTAGTTTAGTTCATGTAGGAGTTTGTTTAATAGCTGTAACTTTTTTGTTTGTGTCTTAGTTTGGTAGTTTAGTTTACTTAGGAGTTTGTTGATAGTTGTAAACTCATGTATATACCTTACGCTTCTGTGGCAATAATTCTCATTCCAATATTGTTTATTTTGGGGAATTTGCATTTATACTCGTTTTTTGGGTCACGTTTTAACTTGTGCCCGTTTTGTAAAAAAAATTGCAAACGTACCCACTTTTTCGCGTAACTTCAGCATACGGAGCTGAAGTAGCAAAGACAATCACGCAAAACTTCAATATTCTAGTAGACAGGCCTGAAGTAGCAAAAATTGCTGAACCAAGTGTGCTGAAGTTTTTGTTTGTAATTGCTGAATTTAAGCATAGTAGCTGAAATTTTATTCGCTATTTGCTGAAGTTTTTGTTTGTAATTGCTGAACTTAAGCATAGTAGCCGAAGTTTTGTTCTCTATTTGTTGAAATTTTTGTTTGTAATTGCTAAACTTAAGCATAGTAGCTAAAGTTTTGTTCTCTATTTGCTGAAGTTTTTGTTTGTAATTGCACTAAATAAGCTGAAATATTTTTTTTTGTCCTGGATTCATTAGTTTTATCATTAAGCTTTTTCAAAAACTTCAGTAGAAGATGCTGAAGTTTTTATAAATGTACTAGATAACTTCAATAAATGTACTAGATGCTGAAGTTTTTATCTTGGATTCAATAGTTTTGTCGTAAAGCTTTTTCAAAAACTTCAGCATAGATGCTGAAGTTATTTAGTTCATTTATAAAAACTTCAGCACTAAATAAGCTAAAGTTTTTTTTGTCCTGAATTCATTAGTTTTGTAAAAACTTCAGCTGAAGTTTTTGAAAAAGCTTTCTAACATACTAGATAAGATTGCCAACAATATTTAAATCATAAATTTTGGAAACAATAAACGTGAAAAGAACATAATTATCATGAAAAGAATCACTAAATGTGACCTTAAACTTCCCGTACGTGAAAATATTCACAAATCATTGTCTACTAACTTACGTAATTATTTATAATTTATTTTTAAATAATCTGATAAACATACTTATGACAATCATCTCATGAACTGAAGTTTCATAGCAGCATCAACAGCAGCAACAGTAGAAGAAGAAGAAGAAGAAGAAAAAGAAGAAGAAGAAAACAAAGGAAGAGAATGAGGAGAAGAAAGGGGGCTGAAGTTGTTTAAAAAGTGGATACAAGTTGAAACTTTTAAAAAAAATAGATATAGATTAAATGAGGGCGACTAAATAAGACGTCCCGTGCAATTTTTACATTTATTTTTTGTACAGATAACAATGGGCCCAATGAAACCTTCAGATTGTAAGATTTCCAAACCCAAAACCAACTTGTTTTCAAGAAAACTTTCATACCAAACAAAACTTAAATGAATAACAAATTTCTTTAACAAATATCTATAAGTAGCATGTGAACTATTCATTTTTTTGAATATAAATTATTTTACTTTATTGTTTTATTAGTTATCAAATCCTTGTTTTCTACCAAGTAATACTAATATTGAATGTTAATTTAACAAAATTTTGTACATCATTGTCTCAAGTTACATATTTTTATTTGATTTCACATTAAAAAGATAATAATCAAAAGTATAAACTATATTACTTAGCACGGTGCATATTGGAAAAACATATGAAGTCTATTTTCATTTTTTTTTTTAAATCTTTGAAGAATATGAAAATTAGATAAACATTATTAAAAGAATTAGACGTTATCCACTTTACTTTTGGCGGCAAGTGATTTTAATTAAAACTTAATAATAAACTCATACAATTCTTTATCTCCTTAAGTGAAATACCATATATAGATATGATATTTTATGGAGTAATCCAATATATATTTTCCTTATTTATATTAATTTTGTGAAAATTCTTTACACTTTTGACCATTAAAGAAGGAAAGCGATAATCATAGGATCAACGTGGGCCCCCAATTAAAACATAGGAAAACGGCATAATACATAAATAGACCTCAACTGGCAAATATACGTTCTAACTTCTGGATGTGTACAAGTAAGCACTTAACTTGTCTCTACTTTGTCAGTTGAACACTCTAACATATAAAATGATCATTTAAACACCTTTAAAATTTATGTGTCATGTCAGTATTTGTGTTAAGTGTTTAACTTTATATAAATTAAGGTGCCTACTTGTACACATTTAAAGTTGGAGGGTATACTTGCCTCATATATTATGCCTTTCAAAACCCAAAACCGACTTGTTTTCGGAATAAAACGTAAAACGCCACCTTATAAATAGCAGCAGCATTTCACTAATTCCTTTACATAACTTCTGTTTGTGAAAAGTGTTGAATTACAAAAAACAGAGAAAATCATGGCAAAGCGGAGGAGAAGAGAGGTTTCAGACGAAGAAGAAGAAGAAGAAGAAGAAGTTCGCTATAGGAGGAGAGCGGCTTCACAGTTTTTCGAGTTAGAAGCAGTAGACACTGATGATGAAGAAGAGGACGACGAAGAACAAGGCGAAGATGATTTTATTGATGATGCTGAAGTCGTGGACTCCGATTCCAACGAAAACGAAGATTTTGCTTTTCGAAAACGTCAGGTTATTCATCCACAAATTGGAGAAGAAGACGAAGAGGAAGATATAGACGAATTTGAAAGGAGAATTGAAGAAAGGTATGGCCGAAAATCGAGATATAAAGACGAGGAAGATGAAACAGAGGTAGTTCAGCAAGCGCTTTTGCCTACAATTAAGGAGTCTAAGTTATGGATGGTTAAATGCGCAGTTGGTTATGAAAAGGAAGTAGCAATATGCTTAATGCAGAAGCAAATTGACAAAGCTTTTAACTTGAAAATTAAATCGGTTATAGCACTCGATCATCTTCAGAATTATATATACGTAGAAGCAGATAAAGAATCTCATGTTAGGGAAGCATGCAAAGGGATGAGACATATTTTGCTGAAAAATAAGATTGTTTTAGTTCCAAATTCAGAGATGTCCAATTTGCTTTGTGTAAAAGGCCGAGATAGAGAATTTACTAAGGATTGTTTGGTGAGATTAAAAACTGGGAATTACAAAGGAGACATTGCTCAGATTGTGGACGTAGATGATATTCAGAGAAGGGTCACTGTAAAATTGATTCCAAGAATTGATTATCAGGATTTGGTTAACAAATATGAAGGTAATTATAAACCAAAGGAAGTTTCAAGTAAAATTTGTCCTCAACCAAGATTTTGGAGTGCTAGTAAAGCTAAAGCATTGGGCATTTCAGTGAAGCGTTCGAGGGATAGAATTACTGGGGATTATTTTGATATTGTAGATGGCAAGAAATTCAAAGATGGTTTCTTGTATAAATTAGTGTCGTTTAAGTCAATCAGTAATAAGATTCAGCCAACTGTAGATGATCTTGAAAAATTTCATGCAGCTAAGGAGAGAGTAGATGATGAAGACATTAATGCAGAAATTTTATCTTTTTCTGCTATGCTAGCAAAGAATATAAAGAAAAATTCCTTTACAGCAGGAGATAAAGTAGTAGTTGTCAATGGAGATTTAATACACATAAAGGGATTGGTTCTGAAAGTTGAGGATGATATTGTTTATTTCAGACCAACAAATGGAGATCTGCCTCAAAATTGTCTTGAAATCAAGAGCAAAGATTTGACCAAGCTACTTGAAGATAATGTTTCTCAGGTTGCATATTGTGAAGAATCAGTATCACTAGTTAGTAAAACTTATAACAACAAAAGTAGAAATAGGGATGAAACATCAGGATCAATAGCCAACTTTAGACCTCCACCTCCTAAAAAAGGACACGGATTTGGAAGAGCAAGGCGTGATCCATTGGTCAATGCGCGAATTAAAATCCGTCAAGGACCTTATCATGGGATGGTTGGAACCATTGTAGAGGTTAGAGGGAGTAAAGTTCGGGTAGAATTAGAGGCTCAAATGAACTCTGTTTATGTTAATCGCAGTCAAATTTGTGAGAATGTGAACGTGGAAGTGAACAATTCTGGCTCTGGTTTAGGGGGTGAAACTCCTATGTATTGTGCAACAACTCCAATGCATCCATTGCTGACTCCAACAAGAGATTCTGCTGCAACACCTATTCATGAGGGAATGAGAACACCAATGCCAAGTAGAGCATGGAATGGTTACTAGCTAATTGAAGTAGTCTTTAACATTCTTCTAGTTCGTACTTTGTTCCTAGTTTTCTTCTGAATGTTAATATGTTTACCATTAGGTTTATTCTGCAATATGGTTTTGCTCTTCGATATGCAGAGTTGGATTTATATTAATGGAGTATCAAATTTTATGATTTCACTTGTCTTGGTAGCATCCTAAGGGTCGTTTGGTTGGAAAAAAGTTATTCCAGGATTAATTATCGCGGGATTAGTTATTCCACCTTTCCATAGGGATAAAAAAAAACACTGCAATCCTAGGATAATTAATCCTGATATTAATTATACCACAATTTTCTACCAACCAAACATGGAATAAACACTTCTTAAATTTAGTCCCGGAATTAATTATTCTTTATCCCTCATACCAAATAAGTCTTAAATGTATCTGTAAACACTGAAATTTTAGCAAATCAAGATAAATCTTAAATTTAAGACAGACTCTTGAAATATTAGGAGTCTATTAGGGTTATTTGGTGACTACTCTACCCAAACCCTAATTCATGCCTATAAATAAGACTACATATGTCCTTCAAAGACATCTCAGCAGTTGATCTTCGAAATTTCATAAAACTCTGGAATAATCATTAAGAGATCTTTCTAGCATCATTCAAGATCCAAAGGGAGTGTTACTACATGCCTCTTGATCATCCAATACATCAAGGAGATGCATATCATTTTACGTTTGAGAAATACGCAGTTAAGGCCCTCGAATTATGGATAATAAATCGGAGGGAAGAATCAAAGGATAAACAGAGTTGTCACCCACAACGTTTATCAATAAAATCCTTTTTTTTCTTTATAGCTTTTTTGTGATTGCAGATTTTTTCTGCACAAATTTGTTGCAAACAGTATGATAATGAGTAATGACTATTACGTTAGTGGTCAGATCAATCTGCTTTCCATATTATTCCAGCTCACAAGTGATGGACCTCGAATATAAGTTGAGATGTGTTATATCTGCAATAGAATTTTATGTATGTCATTATCAGAATAGGAACGGGATGAGAAGGAGGACTTTTAATCCTCAAACTTAATGTTACATTTTGTTGCAGCAACCATAAAATTATGATAAATATGCCTTAATCATAAAAAATCCTCCCTAATTTTAACCTCGTATGCCTTGCAACAAAAATCTTCTTCAAAACTTTATGTCACATTTTCTGCAACACCCAAATGATTATGATACGTAATGCTTATAATCCAAATCCTCCCTAATTTTATCAGATCAGAGATAGAAGAAACATAACTAGAAAGCACCGGGACATTCACACCAAACAGAATATATTAGCTATATGAATCTTTCTTCACATTTTGGTCTATTTCAAAAGAAGAAATGGCAGAAGAACAAAAGTTTGTTTATTGAAGACACATATTACAATTACATTTGCGTTACATACAGTATAAAAGTACAACAAGAACAACCCAATAAATTCTCATCAGGGTAGTGCGTACGCAATCTTACCCCTACCCGAGGGAATAGAGAGGTTGTTTTCGAAAAACCATCGACTCAAGAAGACGAAAAAACACATTATCAGTACCATCAACAGATACCATAGGAATAATAACAGCATCATAAAGACCAGAAAATAGATAAAAAGCAAAAGCGATAGCCAATAAATAGACCCGGCACTATGAAAAACGAAAGAATAGTGAGAACACAACATTAACGACTAGCAGTCTAGGACAAAAATCCTATCAGACTAACCTCACATAGGTACGAAGTAGAAATAGACTCAACTACCTCCTAACCTACAACCCTAATACTCGACCTCCACAGCTTCCTATCAAGGGTCATGTCCTCGAAAATCTAAAGTCACATCATGTCCTGCCTGATCACATCTCCCCAATACTTCTTAGGCCGCCATCTACCTCTTCTCGTGACTTCCAAAGCCAGCCGCTCACATCTCCTTACCGGAGCATCTGGACTTCTCCTCTATACGCGTCTGCACCATCTGAGCCTCGCTTCCCGCATCTTGTCATCAATGAGAGTCACGCCCACCTTTTCCCGAATATTATCATTCATAATCTTATCCATCCTAGTGTGCTCGCACATCCACTTCAACATCCTCATTTCTGCTACATTCATCTTCTGGATATGTGAGTTCTTAACTGGGCAACACTCGGCCCCATACATCATGACCGGTCTAACCACCGCTCTATAAAACCTACCTTTGTGGATCAGTGGCTTTCTCTTGTCACACAGAACTCCAAATGCTAACCTCCACTTTATCCACCCCACCCCAATACGATGTGTGACATCCTCGTCGATCTCCTTATCCCCTGAATAACCGACCCAAGGTACTTGAAACTGCCTCTACTTGGGATGACCTGTGATTCAAGTCTCACGTCCACACCCAGTTCCCTCGGCTCGGCGTTGAACTTGCACTCCACTTAGTCCTGCTCAGCTTGAAACCCTTAGACTCAAGGGCATGTCTCCAAACCTCCAGGCTCTCGTTAACACCGGCTCGCGTCTTATCAATCAATACTATGTCGTCAGCGAATAACATACACCATGACACCTTCCCTTGAATATGATGTGTTAGTGCATCCATCACCAGGCAAAATAAGAACGGGTTGAGCGGAGATCATTGGTGTAACCCCATAACAACCGAAAAATGCTCTAAGTTGCCTCCTACTGTCCTAACTCGAGTTTTAGCTCCATCATACATGTCCTTAATCGCCCTAATATAGGCAACCGACATACCTTTTGCCTACAAGCATCTCCAGAGAACCTCTCTAGAACCTTGCCATGCGCTTTTTTCAAATCAATAAACACCATATGCAGATCCTTCTTCCTATCCCTGTGCAATTCCACCAACCTCCCAATAAAGTGTATAACTTCCGTAGTAGAACGACCCGGCATGAACCCGAACTGGTTGTCGGATATAGACACCTTCCTCCTCACCCTCACTTCTACTACCCTCTCCCAAACTTCTTGGTATGACTCAGTAATTTGATACCCCTATAGTTGTTACAATTCTGGATATCACCTTTGTTCTTATACAACGGAACCACCTTGCTCCACTTCCACTCATCTGGCATCCTCTTCGTCCTAAAAATTACATTAAACAGACCAATCAGCCACTCCAAACCTGCTCTTCCCACACACCTCCAAAATTTAACCGAAATTTCGACTGGCTCGGTCGCTCTGCCCCTATTCATCTTACGCATAGCTCCCACAACCTCCTCAACCTTGATACTCCTACAATATCCAAAATCAAAGGGCGAAAGAAGATCAAGTTCGTGGTATTGTTTACTAATATGAAGAGGAAACAGAGGAAAGGAATACGGCAATTACAAACAATAACAAGGATAATGGGAAACTTGTGCCGTATAGGGGGGATAGGCTGCTGGCCATGAGAATACCAGTGACTAGGTAAGGCAGAATTCAAAAGCTGCAACTTTGAGATCAATCCAGAAGCTCGTGAGCCCAAGACAGCACATGTATGAGAGCGATAATGTAACAGTTGCAGTTGAATGAATCTAAAGTGACAAAGTTGTTGCAACTGTAAAAACAACTTCGTGGAGGAAATATCTCCGAACTCATTTCAGCTGAGTGAAACTTCGATTTCTCACTCTAGATGTCCCAATTTCTGTTTTAACATAATACATACAACACCAGATGTTTCCTGGCATTTAAACTAACTACAGACACGTGAATTATTTACAAAGGAGAATCTACGACACTAAGAAAATGAGAAGCTTTTCACATAGTATTTAAACTAACACAGAGTCTGAACATGAGAGCTTAGAAAACACTGAGAACAGAACATCTAGGTGACTGAAGCCATGTCCAATCTGGTCAAATGTTAGATGATTTACTTTAAGCTTCTCCATAGCATTTACGTGCATTCCTTTTCTGATCCAATGTATCCACTTCTAGCAAAAAGCCAGGCCTGAAACTAAGAGTAATAGGCACCTGAAAATGGAATCGACCAGGAACGTCAGTAGGTTGATAAAAAGAGAGTCCACATACTGAAATAATAAATGTGTTCAGCAAAAAGAAGAAGAAAAGAAGAGAAAAACTGAAATAGGCAAGGGAATGGAATCATCATTTTGTCATCCACAGTTGCAAAAAATAAAGAAGATAACTATATTTTTGAAGTTGGTACCATACCCCCTTTTAAAAATTTGTGGCACTATGCCATTTCTCAAAACACCAGCGAGCTGTAATAGCACTGCATAAGCAAATTAAAAAATAGAAAAAAGAGTTTGGCAACATAGGCTTTCAAAAATACAGCAACAGGGTTTTGGGACTCTTCCAATCTGAAAAGAACAAAAACTGTAAAAAGGAATGTGACACTCATATGACCACTCTCTCAATGTTTTGGCAAAAATGTGGTGGAACAGCAAGGTGTACTGATGTTGAAAGCTTCTAGTAGCAAAGTGCAACCTTATGAATAACTATTGATACTTCTCTACCAAATGCAATGGAACCATACTTATTAGAATTAAAGAGAGTTTAACCCTCACCTCGTATTATGCATTCTTTTGCATGTTACATCGAATGTCTCTAGCTTGTCAAGGACGCAAGGATAGCCGACTCATTAGAAGTTATCCCGTTCCGGTAATCTAACCCCTTCTTCCCAATTGCACATATATGTACACGCATTTCATATTTCCCAACCAGCTCAAATATGCAGATATCTCCCATCTGAATGTCATTATCTCTGACAAATGCCGACCATCCTCCGCAAAATGTGTGCAGCGTTTGTACCTTCATAGTCGGAATTGAATTCACAGTCCAACATTCTCCTTTCAAGTTACGAAGCACGATCTCCGTTCTGCAGTTTGGGAGGTGTTCCATTGAGAACTGATATGGAACTTTCTGTTCAAAGATAGAAGGCTCTCAGAATATGAATTTAAAGCAAATAACAGTACGAGAAATGTCACAATGCCCAACACCTAAAATTGGCCTAAGGAACAATTATCAACAGAAATAAGTCAAGATTTACAAACATTCTACGGTAGAATTTT